GTTTGTTTTTCCCTCCCCGTTTTTGCCCTCTCGCAGCCCGTGCGGCTGCCGGGGAGCCCGGCTCGTCCTCCGGCGCTGCCGCCGAGCGGGTCGGTGCCAGGCAGGCGGCGGCTCCGGCTTCGCCAGCATCCTGCGTTGTTCTCGGGGAAGAAAAAGTGGCTACCGAAAAAATGCAGACAGAAAACTCTACGGCGGGATGTAAGTGCCGAGGTTTGCTACGCGCAGCCTTGGTTCTGGTTTTATTTCGACAGCGCGGAGACAATGGCTACAAAGCGTTGTTTAATCACTTGCAGATAGAACTTTTACGTATCTAAACCTTCGCAGTTAAAGGCTAGCGCAGATTTTGGACAAGCTGTGATGCTCCGAGCGTGTTTTTTCTGGACGAATGTAACACTTGAGCGCGGTAGCACGCCCTGGTTCCCCGGACGGGTTAGCGCCGTGCCAGGGATGAGCGTGATCCTGCCTCGCTGCCCGGGGCTGCTCTGGAAATCATCCCGGTGGACACCGACGTGGACCAGGCAGCCTCTGCAAGGCTGGTTTCAGACAGCGGGTCGTGAATCTTGTAGCTTCCCTCGGACTCTCCCCCTCCCCACCGAAGGAGCTGGTTAGCATCTAGCTACAGTGTTAATTAGAGCAATTAAGCAGTATCGCTGCTCTTGTGGCTCGACTGAGCGGCAGGAGGCGAGCTCCGAGGGGAGGCAAGGTCTCTGCCGTAAATTCGCGGACCTCCCTGTCCTGGCTGCTTGTGAGCAGCCACAGACAGCGGGAGATGTTGGGTGGCACAAGTGCGGCACTGTCTCCGCCGGAGCATCCCGCAGTCAGGCTGCTCCGGCACTGAGCTCGGGCTCCCAGCCTCCATGCACCCATTCCACGCTTGGTGGAGACGGCGGAGTTGTGTCTGTGAAAGTGGAAGGGGCGAGAGCGATGTGAGGGTGAATTCCTCCCTGGGAGGTTGGCGGCGAGTGATTTATGGCATCGGTGACCCTGGGCAGGCTCTGCTGGCTTGGCCATAACCTGGTTTCCATAAAAACAGCGCTTGGGTGTTAGACGCCATCAGCACCCTTGGCTGTGCCGTGAGGGAGCAGGGGGGAAAAAACTTCGTGTTTCTGCTCAGCCTACTTTGAAAATCGCTGAATCTGAGCTATTTTAGGAATGGCATTTCGGATTGCTTCTTGTCAGGAATGCCTCATCCTCCCTGCCGCGCTCTCCTACCTCATAGCGAAACACGTACCTGCAGGAGAGCTGCCCAGGTCAGCTTTCTAGTGCCACTACAACTCTCTGAAGTACTTAGAGCAACGTCTAGAATTTAAAACTTGCTGATATTTGAAGCAGGAGAGGACTTTTTAAAGCACTGAGAGATTTTTAGCTTCTAGTTTGTCCATTAGCAATGTGGCGAGATGTGCAGTAGCGCATCACGTGCGGGTACCGTGTGGATGTATCCTGGCTCCTGCGGCTGTGTTTGACCCTGCTGTGAGCAAAGTGATAGCTGCTCCTCGTGGGCTTTCTGTGCCAGCAGATAAGGAGCCCTTCTTAATTTTGAAAGAGCTTTATAATACGTCTGCAAAATTCCTTGTCACGTTTCCACGATGAGGACTGCGGATGCATCCCACTCTCCTTGTCTCTGTGCGGCCCTGGACAGAAATCCCCTCGATTTCTGTGCCGTGGAGGGTGGACACCACAGTGTGTCATCGCAGCCCAACCAGTGAAGGGACAAAATATGCATGTCCCACTCCTGAGTGGGGACGTGCCAGGCTCTGCCCGCAGCTCCCTGGCACCAGCCACACCTGGCAGGCGGTGGCACACACGTGTGACGTGCTGCTGGCGTCATGGGCCAGCAGGTCACCTCACACCCTGGCTGCCCTGGGGAAGGTCAGGATTTGGTGGTCAGATGAGAGGGAATTTGAGCACTGTGTGGGATGCTGATCACCCCGAGATGACTACAGGCCCCTTTATTTAACCGTGAGAAGTTTGTCACCGAGGCGAGGCAGAGCTGCGTAGGATCGCCCCGCGCGCCTGTGTTCTTGTGGGTGAGCGCTTCGGAAACGCTCGGAGGAAAAAGCTCTGAGGTTTCCCCAGTGTTTATAAATACAATCTGGTGCAAACTGTCAAGCAAGCTGTTCAAAATCACGTCACGCCTGCGCTGCCTTCCCCGCTCGGCTTAAATGCCTTCGCCACAGAGCCGGTGTTCATCTGTCCTTTGGAGCTCCCGGCACGCAGCTTCGGCCCATCTGCGGGGCTTTCCCAGCACCCCTCTCCTCCTCCTGTGAGCCAGGCTGGGGATCCTGAGCTGTGTGCAGGGGCAGAAAGGGCATCTTCAAGTCCCCTTTGTCCTCCTTAGAAGGTTTGCCTACCTTAGATGTCCCCTAAAAACAATAGGATATAAACCCTTTGCTGAAAGCTCCATCCATGCAGTGGCCTTTTGCTCCATCCCATGCCCTCAGCGGGGCTGGATGGAAGCTTTTTGCAGGGTGTTTCACTCTGAAGTGTGCCAGGGTCTTCTGCCTTAATATATATATATAAAAAGATGAGATGTTTATTAAACTCAGGCCCTGCTTTTTCTTGCACGATTTATGTCCCGAGAGGCTGGCGATAAACAGTTTATTAAAAAGAAATCCTGATTTATTTCTGCGAACGGTTACATTTCAAGCTGGTACCAAACGGTTTCGTAGGAGACCACCTTTTATGCTTCCCATGGCAGTTGAAAGGATTGCTAGAAAAACAATCCAGAATCTAAGGAGGTTTGGATAAAGGCAAGCCAGGACCGTACGTCAGGGTATGTGGCGCTTTTATGCAGCGAGGCGGTGGATTTTACCACGGAACATCTGGGCACTGGCTTCAGTTACAGCACAGATTTTAGTGGGATAACAAGTCTTGCTTGGCTTCGCCTTCATTTTGAAGTCACTAAACTTTATACGGATAATAAAACTCTAAGCCCATTACTTCACCGTTTGCAAGGGGCTGTTTCAGTCCCCCTTCGGGCTCTCGCATCTTTCTGGGGCTGGTTTTATTTTGCTGTGCTAAGTGAGTATTTATCTTCTCAGTGCCTGGCTCGCTTTGGAGGGAGGCAGCTTCGCTGATTTGTAGCGATGGCCACTCCAGAGAGGGCAGGCGCGTTTCCATCCGCCCCCGCTGAACGCGCACGTTTTCTGCGTTAGGGGCAGCCTGGTGAAAGCCGCAGGTTTCTCCTTCGCGGCGCTCGAAGAAGCTGAGGTTGGTGACCTGGAGGGCGACAGAGCTGCTCTGGGCTACCAGCTCAGCCACTGGTGAGAGTTAAAGTAACGGGGGAGGGGTTGCTTTATTTTCCTGTTCGATTATAAAATGCAGAGGAGAAGAGTAGAACGGACTGAAGGAGGGCAGGGGCCTGCCTCTTTTGTAGGAGAAAACAAGTTTGCAGGCCCTTATAGATGGGAATGCCCCAGCCTCAGGGAGGATAACCCCAGCTAGTCAGATCTCAAGGAATACGTGTTTGGAATGCAAGTTCCACGTGAGAGCGTAGAGACAGGCCATGAGACCGACGTTTAAGTTGGTCATGGAGCACCCTGGAGGTGTGGTACTGAATGCTGGTGAGCTCTGTGTTTTGGTGGCACTGACTGTATGGGCAGGCATAAACCAGAATAAACCAGAATTGCATCTGAGGAAGGAGAATATCCCAGGTAAGACCAGTGAGAAGGGACTTAGGTACTGCTTGAGCTCGGCTAACTCATGAGCGGAGCAGTGAGTGAGCGAGCATCGCTTTGGGGAAAAGGCAGAGTGCAGAAAGTGTTCTGTTTCACATCATGACTGAGATGTACTTCTGTGGCAAAAGTCCTCATTTAGATCCAACAGGGATAGCTTCTGCCTGAGAAGACGACTGAAATAAGCTTGTGGATGGATGGAAGGAGCTTTGAAGGCTGAGGAGATGTTATGTTTGAAAACTTTAACAAGATATCATCAGAGGAAGTATTTGCCCTTAGATTGGGAAACAGGTCAGGATAATAAATCGTAACTCCAGGAGAAAGTGCTTAAAGCTGGAACTACATTCAGAGGGGAGAGAAAGAGAGTAAATATTAGAAAGAAGTTTGTTCTTTCAGAATTAATTTTCTCATTTGCTGCCTGCAAGGACACCCACCGAAGAGCAGAAGGATAAATGTTAACACAGAGCTGTAACAGGAACCAGCTGAAAATCTCATGACTGCGTGGATGGCTTTGATTGCTCTGCAGGGAGCATGTCGGTCATGTGGGACATGTCAGAAACAGGCAGCGTCATGTCACCTCATGTGTGAGGTAGCTGATAGTCCAGCTTCACCAAAAACCTGATGGGGGGCATTTTACAGGATGGGTTTTAAATGACATTGGAGTAATCGGCAACACGAGCGGCCTGAGAAGCCAGCCCCACTCCAGGACTGCTTCACCAAACACAAACATGCCTGAGTTACCAGAGGGGTGCAGCAGATCCTGCACAGAGCATCTCGCAGCGGGCTCTGGCCTTCCACCTAGGCAGGTATTTTCAGCATTTCTCACTGATTTCTCAGGCTTCTTCAGGCTTGGCCTGAACTGGGACTGCTCTGGCTTCAGGGTAATTAAGCTCAGCGTTTAGAGAGATGTTTGTTGCTTGTGTGACAGCTGAGATAGGAAGCAGTGGGTACTTGCTGCGAGCACCTGGAAAACAGAAAAGCAAAAGGCAATAATTTATCTCTCCTGCCTCATTCCCTGCTCCAAGGGGCCGGATATGAGTGCCCCTCCGGTGTGACCCTCGCACGCTCCCGAGGTGACACAGCACCGAGGCCGACACTTCCCCTGTGATTTACAGGGGAAAAGCATTGTTTGCCTAATTGAGTCTATTTCTTTTTTTTTTTTTTCTTCTTCCCTGTATTATTTGAGAAAACACAACTTTGTTGAAACTTTATTAGGGGGTGAGAAAAATGAGGCTTTTCATCTTTCTCACCTTCAACTTGCTCAGTACCAAGACAGGCAGACCAGGCGAGGTGCGGCGGGATCGCGGGTTCCTCACACACATTTTCAGGGATGATTGAACAGGGAAGATGTTTGTACAAAGCAGCCAGAATATTGTGAAGAAGCGAGTTCTCCCTCTCTTTCTTTCTCTCTGTCTCTTAGTTTAGGTGCAGCAGATTTACTGTTGATTTGTTTCTAGTCAAACAGTGTAAATGTGCCTCAGCGTTCTGAAATCCAGAATCCTGATGGAAATTAAGCAGTTTGCAGATTGAGATGATGATGGTGTGGGAAAGCCAAGTATCTTGGAGCTGCCAGCTGGTCTCTGGATGCAAAGGAAAACATCAGTGAGCAGCATTAACAGTTCCTAGTCCCCATTCCTTCCCTTCCTTTGGCTACTAAATCTCTGTTTAATTCCCTGGGGGTTTTCTCTCCTGGGTAAGAATTACTTATTTGACTATGATTTGTACGACTAATAGGATCTTATCCTTACTTGGGGAAGACTCCAGGGGCTCTTTCAAACTGATTTTTCAGTAATGAGAAATAATGAATAAAAGTCTAATAGTCCTAGGGGGTATTAAAGTTACAATTTTGCAGGGAAGATTTAATATCAGTTGATTAAGACTTTTATAATCCTGTTATAGTACAATAGTCAGAAAAAAAATAATAAGAGGGAGAATAAGTAGGTTTTAAGATCCTCTCACATCATGTGAACAAGTCTAAATTTAATGTTTGGATTAAGCAGGTATTTTAAAGCAAGAGTCTAAGACATCTCTTGCAAGTGTGTGATAGCAGGGTGGCAGGCTCAGGGAAAGAAATGTGCTGTGTTAATTTATGGAGCACGTTCTAATTCCCACTCATGTAAGAAAAAGAAGTTGCAAGGTGTTTATGAGAGAATCCAGGCAATTACAGCTTAAACTAGAAAATGCAAAATTCATAGACCTCAGCAAGGTGTGTTTCCAGTAGCCCCAAACACTCTCTGGCTCAGCCTGTTGCTCTCAGGGGACGCAAGCACTGGGCAGAGCCCAGCAGACCCCAGCTCCTGGCCCTCGGTGAAATGTGTGGGAGCAAAGTGGGGGATGCTTTGAGGGGACAAAGCACCAAGGAGCAGACACTGCTTTATGAATTTACAGCTTTTTGGATTTAACAATGATCAGCAGCGATGCTGGTATTACTCCTTTAGCAGTAACTTTCGTCTAAGAATGTTGTAGCCACTTCCAGTCACTGGCAAAGGGACGTCCCCAGAAGGCAGCGCCCACACCACAGCTCTCACCATGTCTTCCCCTTTGGGAAAAGGAATGCCCTTGGTGTGCATTTCAGTCATCTCTGAATGCAGAAACTCCTCCCTTCTTCTCCCTTCTTTCCTCCTCTGGCAGCCCTGTGGGATGTATGGCTGCCATAAGAGGGCCGGAGGTTTTGGGGCTGTTTGGATGTTCGCTCACCCATGACAGCCTGGCCTCCCCGCCCGCATGGGTTCCCTCTGCTTTTGTTGGCAGCCAGCACATAAAGGGCTAACCTTTCCCCTGCCAGCCTGCACAAATAAACACTGGCCCAGCACTAAAGTGGAGCTGAAACCAACCCTTGCAATAATCTGATTTTTCAGACCCCTTCCCACAGCTCTGCGGGTGACCCTGGCAGGTTTGAACCTCTGGTGCCACATCCCTTTGGAGTACCCATCCATTTTGCACTTGGGAAAGACTTTCCAGCTTAGAAATGCACAAGTCCACTGCTTAGAAAACACAAAAGTGCTAGAAGGAAGACTGGCAGCTCCCAAATGTGCTCCTATCCCACTTTGGTGAGGCGGGCCGGTGGCTGATGTGCTGTGGTTGGACTCATGGGGTCTCAGCCTCTGCAGACAGCTGTGCCTGGGTCAGCTCTGACCAAGGCCATCTCCATGGCTCTGCCTCACTGTCTCCCCATCATTTTGCCTTTTGGAGTGAAATCCTTGCTCTGTGACATGGCTGACATGTGCTGGAGGGGGGGTTGAGTGATGCTGGGGGAAGTTCTCTGGAAGCACCAGGAAGTGTCAGGCACCATGGTGGGGACAGCAGGCAGCTATGCTGAGAAATTTGGAGCAACTCACGCCCTCCAATAACAACTTTAACTAATTTATTGAGCTAATTTCACTAATTTATCTGTGGAAATCTGTGTCTTTTTCTAAAGCAGGATGCTGGGGGAGTAAATACTAAAATTTAGGCAGTGTGAGCATTCCTGCTCCTTCTCATACCTCCCCATGAAAAGGGGGAATTTTCTGCGTGTCGCCCAGGAGCGGTGCAGAGGTTGATTGAGCTGGGATGTGGTTCATCCAGGATGAGCCATCCTGTACTCTCAGCCACTGCAGCCCCTGAGGAACCAGAGCTAAGAAATGGTGTGTGCTGCTTCCTGGGGATGGTGGGGATCGGTGTGGGGGACAATATCCATGCTGGATCTTGGAGTCTTTGCTGCTGTAACTGTGGCTGAGATCTGCCAGCTCTAACACTAAGGGTTCCTGGTAGAAATATGTAAATATCAACAGCTTCAGCACTACATTTGATACTTTCCATTTTCAAACACTTGACAAATGTTTACATATTTTCAGCAGCCTTCTTCCAGCTGGGGAAAATGAGACACAGCATCTGTGAATTACTCTGATATGCAACAAATCATTAGGAGAGAGCACCTTAAGGGTTCATTAAGGACTTGCAGGGCCTAAGGTTTCCTTTCCACACATATAAAGCTGAAGGTAGAAAATACTAAAACTAAATAGAGTTTTGGATAGTAAGTGCAATCAGAAAGATTCGGATTCTGATTGATAATTCAGGGATTGGAAATTTTGAGGGATCAGCTATCAATATATATATATATAATAGTATGTTACTGTGGTCATAAGTAATATGTACTGGTCTCTGCTCCCAAGTAAGAGAAGTGGAAATGGCCTCAAGCTGCACCAGAGGAGGTTTAGATGAGATGTTAGAAAAAAACTTCCTCATGGAAAGGGTTGTCAAACATTGGAACAGGCTTTCCAGGGCAGTGGTTGGAGCCAGCATCCCTGGAGGTATCTGAAATGTGTGTGGTTGTGGCTCTTGGGGACATGGGTTACCAGTGGCCTGGGCAGTGCTGGGTTAGCAGCTGCACTCAATGGTCTCAGAGGGCTTTTCCAACCTAAACAATTCTTAAATGGGCCAAGCTCTGAATTCAGCAGAAGTACTCATCATTCCTTTGGAGTCAGCAGCACGGCAGGACACCATTCTGGTGGCAGCACAGGGATGTAGGCTTTTCCCCAGCCATTGCAGGTAAGTAATGGGCTGTTACTGCTGCTGTTTTGCTCTGCTTTTCCAGCTTTCTGGAAAGCTGCTGCTGATCCTCTCCGCTATGGCAGGTGGGAAACTCTCAGTGGTAACAAGGGCGGTGTGGTAACACGGCAGAGAATTCCTGAGTCGCTGTTGTGGGAAAACCCTGTGTGCAGAGGTAGGGAAGTGAGTGGGAATAGCAATGCCTGTGGGCTGGCTGTGGTTTTTAATCCTGTGTACGTGTGGTGGTGCTCCTGATGCCGAAGGAAACTGCTTGATGGAAGCTGTGGGAATCAGCCCCCCTGCACTTGACAGGTTTTCCAAGCAGTATTCCCTTTATTAATCGCCAACCAAAAAGTGGAAGGGGAGAAGCACAAGGAATTCCAGTGTGCTCATGGCACAGCTTTCCACAGAATGTGAGTGCTCTTGTTGTTGCTGGAGCTGCTGGAGCTCAGCTTCACCTGCTCCTGCTCTGGGAGTCACTCTGGAGCCCCTTGAGTTTAGCAAATAGTTTAGCAAAATTTGCTGAAGTCCTCCCTTTAGCAAATACCTTGGTGGCCAGGAGCAGCTGCCATACCAGCAGTATTCCCTAGGAATGGCTCAAGCAACCTTAACTCCTTTGGTAGTTAATGAAGTTCAGGACTTTGGGTTTGTGTTGTAGCACTTTTCCAAGTCCTCCTGCCCCGGTGGTTTGAGGATGCGACAGCAGGATGCAGATTCTGGTTGTGTCCCTGCTCTGTATCACGCCCTGACATTTCATCTCAGTCCCTGGAGGATTTTGGCGAGGGCACTCGCTCATAATGTCATCCTGAAGTATTCCAGAGGAACAGTGGGAAACTCTGTAGCTGTTGTTGGTTGTAATTTGTAATTGTTCGTGTGTTCCTCCCCGCTAATCCCCTTGCTGAAATTCATTAGAGAGAGCGAGCAACCTACACCCGGCGAGCTGTGCTGAAGGCAGAATGACTTGGCCGAGGAAAGTAGCTATTGTTTTATGATTAAAGGAAAGGATTATATTGGGATTTCCTTGAACAAGGAAAGTCTCTGCCCTACTTTTATTGCTTGTAACAAGGGGATAATAATTACTTTCCATTATAAAACACCCCCAGCGCTTGCGCTGAAAGATTTGTGGTAGAGCTGCGTGGCGTTCAGGGCTGGTTATCTGAAATGGCCTGGAGTTGTGCAAACTGAGATTTCTCTGCCTTATTTCTCCTTCTGGGGCTCAGCCCCTGCTGAGACTATGGAAAAAATTCCTCTACTGAGTTGGGTCAGACTCTCCAAGTGTGACATATTTCTCCCCTGGAGGAGCTGGTACCACTCACCTATCCCACGCCTCCTGCCCTCTCCAGGAGCAACATCCAGCCACCTGGAGGCTTTGTACGGGCTTGGGGGGGTGAGCAGAGACAGCAGCAGGGATCCAGGAGTGGCCAGGGGAGGTAGCATCTGTCCTGGGAAGAGGGCTGTGCCAGCTGGCTGCCACCCCTGCTCCAGCACATCCCTGCTTCCCGTGCCACTGCCACCCCCTTGCAGGGAGAGGCGCGGAACAACCGAGCATTGTAACAGGGACCGCGCTGTTTGTTTGGGTTTGACACTCGGCGCTGAGTCTGGTGGGCAGAGGTGGCTGGGAGAGAGAGAAGTGCTGGTATGTGGTCTCTGATGGAAAAAAGGAAAACTATGAGGCATTTCCTCCAGTGTCCCAAATGGCATCTCCTGGCTCAGCTGGTTTTTGAAGCGTCCAGCTGCCACCAGCTCCAGGGTGACGATTTTTGATGTGATCGGGGTTGAATCTGTTTCCACTAAAAGTGGAAAAATAAATAAATCTCAGTTTAGAAACAAAACAGTCCATGTAAAATTTGATTTCTTGATACCGTATCTCCCCGGGTATAATTGCTTTTCAACATGTCTAATTTGAGACAGCTCTGCATTTTCTAATGATGCCCCTTTGGAGTTCACCTCTCCCCTAAGCTGTAGTTCACTGCCGTTGTTGTCCATCAAGATTTGGTAGAAATGTACCCTTATTTCTTCATACCTTCCTATTTTTACGTGGCTGCATTTTTTTTTCCTCTGGAATGCTACAGTGATTTGCTTGGCTAAAACAATATTCCCAGCAAAGGAAAATTGTGGGTTGAACTGGAATTGCAAGAGGTGCTTGGTTAATCCACAGGTTATTGACACGGTGGAACCTCCATGCTTCAAAGGCACTGTTATAGTCCGTCGTCGTGTCCCCAGTACTTAGGGAGCTTCAATCCATGGATTACAGGTCCCTGAGAGCTCCTGCCCTCCCAGGTACAGCTGGTCCTGCCAACGGGAGCTGCCATGTCAAGCTGGTTGTGGCACTACACAAAAAATTGGTCTTTAAAATCCAAGGAGACGGTGGTACACCCTTGCATCCCCCCCTGTCAGGGCTGCATTCCTTGTCCCAAGCCCCTGGAGAGGTCCCAGAGCCTTGCCTGGCCCATGCTTTTCCCCAGGCACCAGGCAGGACCAGACAACAAGTTTTCAAAAGCGATGCTTTAAAAAAAATAAATAAAAAGGGACCACAAAAAAGCCCAAATGAAAAGCATACCAAACGTTTTCCACATCCTTCAGGGAATAGTCAGCATTAAACAGCAGGCCTTCACTTCTCCCCTCTGGTCTCCCCCTAAACAAACAAACTGAGCAGCTCCCAGTAAATGCTTAAATTGCAAAGGAGTTTTTTTTTCCTTGTTTGCACATTAAAAATAACTAATTGCGTTGCAATCCAAATTTATAAGCGGTTTTAAAGTCTTCTGTTGCTCAGGTGATAACTGTGTGTGCTGAGGTGCATGTATTTGTGGCATATATCTCTGGAAATGGAGTGTATCATGGAAAAGCTCACAGCCTCTTTACTTCCAGCATTCCTATAATAAGTCAAAGAAGTCACACAGGGCCCTTTTATTTCCAAAGCTGGACTTGAATCACGTCAATAAATCTGCAGATTTACTATGAGATGCAGCATGGGTAATGTAAACAGAAAAAAAATAAACCCCACCCCCAGCACACCAGAGTTTAAAAATAGGATGTAAGGAGGAAAAAAAAAGTTAAGTATCCATACAATTAAAAGAGAAGAAATGCAACACAAGAGCGCTGTGTCAGGCAGTGCCTTGAAATTATCCTCACTAAATTACAGTCGTGCCATTCCCACTCTCTGTAATTAACGGGAGGGTTTGGCTATTCCAGATGCATTTGCTCCAGGTAAACCCAGATCCTTTTTGTTTTGGTGCTGTAATTCCCTTGCAGGTCTGGGTGACAGTTGAGGAGCAAAGCAAATGACTTCCACAGATGAGGGAAGATGACTGTGAGCAGGTACCAGTGTTGGATTTGGTGAATCCAACGCTTTGCTCCCTTTTTCCACAGCGTAGGTGTATTTGGTGACACTGAGCCTTCCTGGGAGCACAAAATGAATGCACAGTGAAGCCCAAACAGGAGGACACAACTACTTGGGATCCCCAACAGCCAAACAAAATGGATTTTTGGCTTGCTGGGTGGGATTCCTGTGGTGGGATATAGGCAGGGAGGCTCTGATCCCTTATAGATGTGTTTCAGTGCTGGAAAAAGAGGTCAGTCTGAAAATACCGTAGGCTTGAGCAGGGAAATCAAAACCAGGGTGATTTCATTTGTCCCCAAGGCCACCAAGACTTGGCTTGAGGATGTGCCCACCCTGCTGAGCCTGTGGGAAAACCCCATGAGGTGCTCCAGCTAATTTATCCCTCAGCTCAGAACCTGAGCCGGCTGCAGATCCCATTATCCTCTCCATTTCTGGTTGTAATTGCAGTTTACCTGGAGATTTGCAGATGGAGTTTGTTAACTGGAGGTCTTGAAGGCAGGAGAGAGGGCTGTGTAGGGCTTTTGTAGGTGGGATTTTGGAAAGTTTGGGTAAGGAGATTGATTTTAAAAAAAGGAATTAATTGTAATTGTCATAAAACCCAAGACCTGACTTAACAAATATTTTCATGTATGTGCTTATAGCTCAGGTTTATAAAATGCCATTTATAAAATGGTTATCTCTGGCAAGGCGGTGAATTTTGAAGTGTCTAAAATCATGTATCTCCCTCTCCAATGTACAGCATGTATTTTTCATCTGTTGATCTTTCTAGGTAAATACAGCTGGGCTCATTAAGCAAAGCTCTCCTGAGGTGTGGCTCCTGCTACCGGAGTGTTTGCTCACCTGGGGACGGCACTGCTGCATTCCAGGTTCAAATCCAAGGAAACCCTGGCCACCTGCCCTGGCATCCCTCACCTGCTCAGGTTCAGTGTCTGGTGACTGGAAGGCAAAATCGAGTGGCCTTGTCCCCTGGGAGCAGCCCTGCCTGGGAGCAGATGGAACCCTCTGGATGCTCCGTGCTCAGTCTGACTCCCAAGGTCGGTCAGCCAGCAGGACTTTTCCCTCTGGCTGTAAGGCTCAGCTGAAACAGAGTTTGGAAAAGAAGTGAGAGGTAAAGTTGGGCCATTAGAGGGCACTTTTGCAATCCTGGAGAAGGAAAAGGGTGCTTATTATTTCACTTAGGACTGTTTGTTTTGGCACTCTCTTAAATTCAGTGATAAACAGCAGGCAAATCCCTCCAGTCAGCAGGAATATATCAATAAAATATTGACTCAGAGTTTAAAAGGAAAAAAAAACAAGACAAACTTGTAGAAAATGGAATAAAAGACATTTGAGGAGGCGGCACAGCCTAGAGAACAGAAAATCACACAACGTATTTCCTGTAATTTGTGTGGTTTAGCAGCGCAGCACTTAGGCCTCAGCTTGTACCTGGCTCCTAAAAACAAATCCAAGACAAGAAAATGGTTTGTTGGGAATTTCTGAGGGCTGGGTGGCAGAGCACGAATTCACAGGCTCACATCTAGCAAGTGTATTTTCTGAGGGACACTGTCAAAGTCATTGGTGATCTTTCCCAGAAACAAAGATGGGATGTAAAAATGGGCTTTTTGCTTTCCTCTTGATGTTTTCTATGGGTGAACTGTGGAGGGTTTAGCTTGAAACCCTGCCAAATTATAATGAGTGTGTTGCAAAAACTAAAATCTGTTTATTAGCTGCTGTGAAAGGATGGTGCAACACTGACAGCACAGCTTCCCAAAACTGTGAGCGAGGTTTGGATGCCGCTTTGCTGTTGTCCCGCTTTTGGAAGTGTCGTGTGTGAAAACTGTGCCCATTTTAAGCCTCTGAGGTTAAATATGTGAAAATGAAAGCACTCAAAATTCTATTAATTTGTCAAAGAACAGAGATTATAGAAGTTTCCTTTGTCAGTAACAGTTGACAACTTTGCAAGGTATTTCATGTGTGGGACAGGCAGGGATCACAGAACTAAATTTAATGTGTCTTTTTGGAGTTATTTTTAAGCCGAAATGCTTTTACAATTAGAAAAAGAAATTGGAGAGAAATCTGTACCTTGTCACTGCTCTGTAGCTGTTAAAGGGGGGCAGAAGCACTGTTTATGGGAGTTTTTAAAGTGCATTAGCTAGTGAAATTATTTAAGAAGTGAAGCTTAGCCTACAATCAAAATGGTTTATTTTAGTAGAGGTTACATTGCGCTGTAACTGACTATGGGAATACACAGGATTGCAATTTCAGGGGGTTCATGTGGAGGACGCTGTCTGCAGAAAGCATCAGAATTTCTTACCTAACCAAATAATCTGCTGTAACTGTTGTGATTAAGTTGGAAGGAATTTCATCCCTGTTGGCCAACAATAATACTCGAAAAATCAATAAACAGCGTGATAGAGCACACAAAACTCATCATGCTATGTGTGAGGGGAGCTTTCTGCCGGCTTGGGTGACTCAAGCCAGCAAATATTTTGACTTATGATCTTTGCTCCAAAAGGTCAAATGTCTTTAACTTTGCTGGTAAGTATCAACACTTCAGTCTGAAATTGAGCAACTATAGTCACTGTCATCAAAAGCTAACCCAGGACCTGGTTGGGATAGATTTTGACAAAGGCTGGGAAAGCTAAATCAGGATTTACCTGTAGGTAGCAATTGCATGTGTTAGGTAAAGCCCTGGACTCCTTTCCCTTCTGTAGGGCAGAGCACTGCAGTAAGCTGGCATTAAACCATCCCAAATGTTTGAGACCTAAAATTGTGTCTTGTGAGGGAGTGCTCAGTGCACGTCACTCCTGGCTTGTGGATACTGCTGAGTTTGCCATGTGTTTTCCCTCTCCCATCACCAATTTCAATGGGAAAATAGAAAGATGAAGGGACTGAGCTGGACAGCAGGAGTTGGAGAAAACAGTAGGAAGGGAGGAGGGAATGAGCTGATACCAGGGCAGAGGAGGAGATGGGACCTTCATGTTGGTGGAAGGAATGATTAAATAACAATGTCAGAGGCAGTGTAAGAAAAATGAGGGTGAAAATAGCCCTCCCACAGCCTTGCTGGTGTCAGAAACCCTGCTGTGCAGCATGTGGGTGGCTGTGTTTAGCTCTCATGAGAGCAGGACAGGCAGAAGGGGAGCTGGAGGCAGCAGGGAGAGGGATTTTGGAAGAGCAGTTTTAGTATGGCTTGGACTACAGTGTGCCAGTTCTCAAGGAGCTTTATGTTTGCTATTTTTACATAAAATATTTGGGGTGGTGGGAAAAAGAACTATCTCAGCAACAGATTTGATCTTAAAGGTAAAAGGAAGAGTTTGCTGTAAAGTAGCAGTTACTTCACAGTGCAGTAGCCAGAGCAGTGCACGACTGCACACTCAGCCAAGAGACAAGATAAAACTGTTCCTGCCAGCTCAGCTTTTTACCAGGTTTCTCCCCAAAATCAGTGCTAACAGGGTTTAGGTAATGGCCTAAATGTTTTTTTGGTTTTTGGTTTGGTTTTTTTTTCTCTCCTAATTAAAAATGGTTATCCTTTAACAATTTAAACTTAATACACTTGTACATGAATGGGCTGTTTTTCCCTTTCCCCCCCATCCCAGAGCCATTATATATGAGATCCTGTACTGTACTTGAAAGGAGATTTCCAGCCTGTCCCACTGTATCTGTTAGGGTAGTCATTTCTGACCTAGTTATAGACCTAATAATGAAAGGCTGAGATTATGAATTATTATGCCTAATTTGTAAAGGATTCTCTGCTTTTGTGTTTTGCAATTCCCATCAGGCTTGAGGACTAAGCCCTGCTGAATTGCATGCTAATACCAATGTGCTTTGAATATGTGTGGGTTTGTGTCACATGTTTTCCTAATTCGCTATTTTTGTAAAGAACAGTTTCACTGGAAATATTTACTTTCCAGAGGATTGTTGGGAGCCCAACCAAAATCTCCTAGGGGAAGCAAAATCGATGTCCCCTCCGTCTGCTCCGTAGCTCCCAAAGCCAGCGAGCTCCGTTTCTGCTGTGGGAAAACATCAAAGTGTAACTCACCCAAGCATGTGGAAGCTCTTTGGTAGCGATTCCAATTTGCAAGCAGTCACAGTTCAGGATGGGTAAATCTCGGTGACACCCTTTATCCGAGCCCTGTGACAGTGAGAGCTGAGTCCTTACCATGAGTTTTCCTGGCCTTTGTGTGGCAGCGAAGGTTCCTGCACAGCACAAAGCTCCCGTGAGGTTCTTGTAGGTGTGCCCACGTTCCAGCTCAGACCAGCTGCACGTGGTGCCCCTCCTGAGGTGGCACTCCCTGTCGTTGCTGCAGGATGCTCCTGCTGCTGCTGCTGTTGCTGCCGCTCGGCTCCAGGCCCCAGAAGTTGCCCACCAGGGATGAGGAGCTCTTCCAGATGCAGATCCGGGACAAGGCGTTCTTCCACGACTCGTCAGTCATCCCCGACGGAGCGGAAATCAGCAGCTACCTCTTCCGAGACACCCCCAAAAGGTATTTCTGCCTGGCCCAAGTGTGGAAGCTGAACTTTGAAGACAGCAGCTCTGGTTGCTGGGTGCTTCGAGATAAAAATTGGATCCCAACCAGAAAAATACAAATGCCAGTGTCCTGTTTGGTGAAGTAAATATGTGAGCCTCCCTCCTGATCTGGCCTCCCCAGCTGAGGATCTGCCCAAGTTATTTGATTTCTGGGATAAGCCCAGAGCTCCCCCAGACCGCAGAATTTCCCTGAAGTGGGGCCACTGTCCCTGTCTGGAGGCAATGGGAGTGGGAAGGAAATTAGAAACTACAGGCTTGACCCACCACACTTGTCCCTATTCACTGTTCCCTCCTGTGCTTTAAAGAAGCAGTGTTAGGCAGCCTGGTCTGAACTCCCCACTTCCCAAACTCCACCCTATGGGTCATAAAATACTGAGGGTTAGGCTGGGGGAGAACCTGAGGCTCCAGAGAGTTCAGGGAAGAGCTGCATTGCCTCATATCACACACCTCCTCCAGCCCTCATTACTGAGGAACGTTTTACAGTGGGTGATGTGTGGTGCCTGGAGGGCTGTGGGAGGGCAGCTGGGTGTGTGTGTACCTCTGTGTGCTTGCCTGGATACAATGTAAAATGTGTGTCCTGCTTGGAAGAGCACATTCCAGGAGAGATCCCCTTTCCCTCATTTATCTCTGTGATTATTTGTATCTAGGTAGTATAGGGTAAGTAAAGCTGGTGGAGGGGAGGGCAGGAGGCCAGAAACCCCTCTGCTCTGCCTTGACACACAAGTGTGAACTCTGCTCCCTAGCTCTGCCCTCCATTTCCATTTCCATTTCCATTTCCATTTCCATTTCCATTTCCATTTCCATTTCCATTTCCATTTCCATTTCCATTCTCCCTCTGCCTGCTGGTAACACTTTTGATCCTGTGGCCCCACCAAGACCACCCCTGATGGTGCCAAGTCAATCCCTGCCAGCTGACTGCCGTCAGGGGTTCCTGACACGTGGGTCTGTTAACCTCCCTCTAGGTATTTCTTCGTGGTTGAAGAGGATAACACTCCCTTAGCAGTGACAGTGACACCGTGTGATGCCCCTCTGGAGTGGAAACTGAGTGTGCAGGAGCTCCCAGAGGAAGCCAGCGGGGAAGGATCAGGTAACAAGCCATCAGAGACTTCCCCTGTCCCCTTCCCTGCTTTTCTCCTGGATTTTGGGTTTCTCAAACACTGAGTCTCACAGCAGGGCTGTCTTTATCATCTCCTGCAGTCTCTGTCTACCAGGGCAGGAGACTGACAACAGGCAGCAACATGAAAAGGAAAAGGACTACAAAGTAAAAGCTGAGGTTACAGTCACAGGGGTCTGGATGCTGCCAGAGCAAACTGTGTTAGCCCAGAGCCACTCAGTTGGATGGGGGCTTTGCTGTGAGGTGTTGACACAAGATAAGAACTGGAGAGACGGGGCTG